ACAGAGCGCACCCCCAGCAAGCCTGCCGATGACACCAAGCTCCAGTCCAGTAAAATTAGGATGTGGACAAACTGGAGAGTTCAGCAGAGGGGAACAAAATTGTTTCAGGGGCTGGGGCACGTGATGTACAAGGAAAGATGGAGGGAACTGGGCTTATTTGGTCTAGAGACGAGAAGACTGAGAGAGGACTTAATAGCAGCCTTCAACTCCCTGAAGCGGGGCTTCGAAATAGGATGGAGCTGGCCTGACCTCAGCGAGGGCAGACGACGGAACAAGGAGCAATGGGCTCCGGTTGCAGCCAGGGGACTTTAGGGTAGATATTAGGAAGGATTTTCTCCTCAGGAGGGTAGTGAAACCCTGGACCAGGTTCCCCGGAGAGGTGGTGCAAGCTCCGTCCTTGGAGGTTTCCCAAACCCGTCTAGACAAAGGCCCGGCTGGGAGGATCTAGCTGGGGCTGGTCCTGCTTGGAGCAGGGGCCGGACTAGATGTCACCTCCTGGGTCCCTTCCAGCCCTCACCTTCCTTGCTTCTCTGCCTCGTCCTCATTCCCAGGAGGCTCCGGGGAGGCGGGTGGTGGGGCTCCTGGCAGAGCATCCGCGATGGCCTCGGCCGTGCCCTGCTCACTCTGCCCCCTGCTGCTTTCCTGCAGGTTGCGGTGCTGCCATCGCACAGCCCTGTGCCTCCTCACACACACACACACGCACACACACACCCCTCTGTGCCTCTTCCCAAACACACACTCACCCCCCACCGCAGCCCTGTGCCGCCTCACACACACCCCCCCACCCAGCACAGTGCCTCTTTATACAAACACATACATGTATGCACACCCCATGTGCCTGCTAACAATCACACACACAACTGTGTGCCTCCTCACTCACACACATGCACACACACACATGCACGCACACACCCCCTGTGCCTTCTCACACTCACACAGACACCCATATGCCTCCTCAGGCACACATGAACAAAGCCTGGTGTGTCCTCTCTCTCACACAGACACATCCAGACACAACCCAGTACTTCATCTTGCACATGCGCACACACACACACACAAACTCACCCCCTGTGCCTCCTCACACACACATATGCACACCCCCCGTGCCTCCTCTCACACCCACTTGCCTGCTCTCACACACACACACACACATACACACACACATACACCCCTGTGCCTCCTCTCTCACACACTCCTGTGCCTCCTCACACACACCTACACACCCGTGTCTCCTTATACACACACACACACCAGTGCCTCCTCTCACACACACACATCCACACACCCCTCTTCATAGACACAGATGCATGCACATACACGCTACTTGTGCCTCCTCACACACAGACACACACATGCACACACCCATGTGCCTCCTCCCGCACCCCCGTATGCCTCTTCTCTCTCACAAAGACAGCTACTGTGCCTACTGACACACATGCACACACACAAACATGACACACCCCAGTGCCTCCTCTCTTTCTCTCACACGCAGAAACACACACATCCACACATACACTTCATACAAACACATACATGCACGCACATGGACACACCCTGTGACTTCTCACACTCAAACGCACCCCTGTTCCTCCTCACACACACAACCATGTGCCACCTCACACACACACACACACACCCTGTTCCTCCCCTGCACACATGCACCCACTGTGCCGCCTCTCACTCAGACACACACATGCATGTGCCTCCTCTCTCACACCCCCATGTGCCTCCTCACACACACACACAATCCTGTGGCTCCTAACACACACACACACACACTCACAGATCATGCCTCTTTATACACACACGCATGCATGCATGCACACACCCCTGTACCTGCTCACACTCACACACCTGTGTTGCCTCCTCACACACACACATGCATACATGCACACATCCCCTGTGCCTCCTCACACTCACACACACAAACCCATGTGCATTCTCACGTACACACATGCACAACTATGTGCATCCTCACACACATATACACACTCACATGTGCCTCCTCACACCCACTGTTCCTCTTTGAATACACGTGCATACATGCATGTGCCTCTTCTCTCAAGCCCCCATGTGCCTCCTCACATGCAAACACAATCCTCTACCTCTTCTCACACACTCACAGACGATGCCTCTTTATACACACACACATACATGCACGCACACACCCCTGTACCTGCTCTCACACACACACACACACACACAATCTATGTGCCGCCTCACACACATAACCATGTCCCACCTCACACACACACACCTGTTCCTCCCCTGCACACACACACCCCACTGTGCCGCCTCTCACTCAGACACACACATGCGTGTGCCTTCTCTCTCATGCCCACTGTGCCTCCTTGAATACAAGTGCGCACAGCCCAGTGACTCCTCCCTCACACCCACACGTATAGATACACCTGAGTCCTGCATCTTGCACACACGTGCACACACACATGCACATGCATACACACACACTTCTGTGCCTCCTCCTCCACACACATACATGCAAGCACACTCCCCCTGTCCCTGCTTGTACTCACATACACATCCCTGTGTGCCTCCTCAAATTTGCAAAGGCACTACACACACACACACACACACACACACACACACACACACACACACCCTGTGACTCCTCACATACACACAAAAAAGCCCGGTGCTTACTCCCAAACACACGCACATGACACATCTGTTTGCCTACTCTCTCTCTCTCTCTCTCACACACACACATCTACACACACCCCTCTTCATACACACACACATCCATGTACATGCCCGCTGTGCCTTCTAACACTCACACACAGCTATGTGCCTCGTCACACACACATAACTATGTGCCATCTCACACACACACACACACCTCTGTGCCTCTTCATACACACACACACATACATGCATGCACACACTCCCTGTGCCTGCTTACATTCATAGACACATCCATGTGCCGCCTCATACACACCCTGTGTGGCTTATCTCTCTCTCTCTCTCTCACACACACACACATACACACACACACACACACACACCCCTTTGAAAGGTCCAAGTTTCAAAAGTGACACATCCATGTGCTGCCTCATGCACACACACACCATGTGCCTCTTCTCTCACACACTCTCTCACACACACACACACACACACACACACACCCTTTGAAAGGTCCATGTTTCAAGGGTGAACCATGGACCTTCCTGCCTGGTCCTTCATGTTCATGTCCTTCAGGAGAGGCGGGTGCGGGGGCTGCCTGGCACAGCTTCTGCCATGGCCTCGTTCATGCCCTGCTCACTCTGCTCCGTGCTTCTCTCTCCTCCAGGTTGTGGCGTTGTCATCTCACACCCGCCTGCTGTGGGGATCTCGCCGCTGCTCTCAGCACCCGCCCCAGCTGG